AGCTTGTTCCTATCGCAGCCATGGCCAGATTACAGCTAAGAAATTCTCGCCGCTCACAGCGACCAAATTTAAATCCCCTCCCTACATGGGGACAATTAAAGAAATTGACCATAGAAGGGCAACGGCTTGTCCTTCAAGCAGGAAAGCCTTTAAACCCTGAAAACTTGTTTTTAGCTTTATGTGCCTTGCTCACCGTTGCTTCGGGGACTGAGAAGACGTCTCTTTTGTGGTGGGGAGATGGTGGAATCGCTAACCCTGCTGTTGCAGCCGAAGAATACCCTCATCACCTTCAAAATCATATTTGAAAGATTCCAGCTGCTATGCAACCTGTAACCTTGTACAATGTTTCCTATTCAGGGACTAGTCGATCTGTATCTACTACTTATAATTTTACTAGGTTTAAAATGTATAATATTACTGTTTGTGCACCTCTGCCTTATGTCTTTTTAGTGGGAACTTTTAATTTTACACATTTTTCTTGTACTTGTTTAAATTGTCAATTGTTTACATGCTTAAATAGCACACTAAATTTCACTAAGCCTTATACAGTTATGCTGTTACAACAAAAAACTCATATTTGGTTGCCTGTAAATTTAACTCGACCATGGTCTCAAGACCCAGTAATTTCTGTTACTACTGAATTTTTTAAACATCTGTTAAAACGTACAAAAAGATTTATTGGAATAGTGGTTGCTGTACTGTTAAGTCTGATAACTGTAGCCTCCCTAGCAGCAGTCTCAGGAATAGCTTTACAAACCTCTTTGCAAGAAAAACATGTTGTAGAATTATGGCATGAAAATTCTCATGAACTTTGGTTAACTCAGTGGCAAATAAACGCCAAACTACAACAACAAATAGACCTCCTTAAACAAACAGTTGAATGGATGGGTAGAAAAATATTGGCTCTTCAGCATCAAGTGTTTTTAAAATGTGATTGGAATTCAACTACTTTCTGTATAACCCAACGACCTTATAATCAAACAGAATATGAATGGGAAGTGATTAGAATGTATCTAAATGGAAACACCTCTGCCCAGGAGGAAATAGAATCTTTGCATAATCAAATTGACAAGGATTTTGCAAAGCAAAATGATGATGAATCCCTAGCACAATTCGCGCAATTGCTTGCTCAATCTTTGAAAGGATTAGATTCCAAAGGAATCTGGCAGAGCATAACCCACACTTTAAGTGGCATGGGACTTAGTTTAATTATAGTTCTCATTGCCATAGTTCTTGTGTATTTTTACTGCATAAGACGAAATACTATTAATAACCTGATCTTATGGAAATTGTTGTTAAAAAAATAAAAAGGAAGGAAGTGTGGGGGATGAGGTGTCACTTTGTAGGCCCAACCCCCTCTAACCTGCAATTTACAATAGCCGCCCTGGTATGCGAGACGGAGGTAGAATAGGAATGCCTGTTCTCAGTGAGACCCCTCACCCTCTGGAATCCATACTGTGAGCTGGCTTTGTTTTGCAGAAGTCTTGAGGAAGTGGCTGGCCACCCTTTGTGACACTAACAGCAGACAAATTAACAACATTCTTGAGCTAATGAATTTCTTCCTGGGCTAGAGAAGTTATGAGAACTGGTTGTGATTATTTACTTCACTTAGATAGCTTTAAAATAAACATTGTAGTCTGTCACGTTGTAGCTTGCCACAAAGAATGCCTTTTCACTACTTAATTATCTGGGCTCTGTGAACTGATCTGGTTTACTATATATGAATCCTAAAATAAAGATTGTGCGTGCAGTGCAGTGTAACGTGGTGCAGACAGTAAAGGTGCCGTGTCCTGTCTTCCTTTCCGAGCACTGTACCCCCCGTGTCCCGATCAGGCGTGTGTGCGTGTTTACCTTTCCCGGAGTTCAGAGTGCTCTAAGACACTCACGACATACTTCAAAATAAAATAAAAAGGGCAGAGATGCAGCTCCTGACAGAGGGCTTGCCCAGCATGTGGGAGGCCTGAGTTCAGCCCCAGGACCAATGAAAAGGCGAGAAAAATAGCCACTGGATGTGAAAACCCTTTACCAACCCCAAAGCACAGGCCAAATGTGCAGGAAGCTCCTGTTGGCAATAATAAAAGGGATGTGCCACTGCTTTTCATCTTTCACCACGAAATTAATACGGCGGTGCCCTGCAAATCAGCACCATGTGTGGGCACCGTGGGCGAGGGGACAGCCAGACCCAAGCCTTTCCCGTGAGTCAGCGCCATTCTCAGACTGCGGGGATACAGAACAAGACTCACCAAGAAGCGAGCCCTCCCTGCGAACCAGCACCACTCGTGGGCCACCTCTGGGGGGAGGACAGCCAGACCCCAGCACCTTCCAGCTCCGCAGCTGGCAAACAAGAAGAGCCAATCCTACCCCCACGCCACCCCAATACGCGACTGGCTGATTCAGAGAAACTCAGGCTGCAATGACAGTTATTGAGGTAAAATGGAACTTGAAGCTTGTAGTGTTTGGTGTTTCACTGACCTTGCAGGTCTAGGGCCAGTGTGCTGGGGTCTGTGCCTAGATCCCCAAACCCCCAAAGGGGTGCACAGTGAAGGCCCAAAGAAATAAGACAAGTGGCATGATCTTTAGCGCTCCTGGAGGACTCAGATCCTCCACAGAGCTTGTAACTCTGCTAGCCAGCAGGCTGACTGGCCCTGTATACGGGCAGCCCGTATTTAATCAGAACACGCAAGAAGCTGAGTGGAAAACACAGGAAACCTGAGCAAGATCTTGGATGGGTTCAAGGGCCCCTCAGAGCAACAGACAATGCTAATTAAGGAAAACTACCCAGAAAGCCTCAGGTGGCCTCAGCTGAGGTGTCTCCTCATTCTCAGTTCAGCCATGCCCGGGCCACGTCACAGCCCTGCACGTGTATTCAGCTTCAGTGGCCCCAACCCCAGTGGGCTGATCATCTATTGAGAGAACTGAGGTACACAGTGTGGCATCTAGGAGGTGTCTTCTTCTGAAGGCAGTAGCCAGTATGCCCTACTATTTTGTTTCGAAGTCGTGTATCATTTTCATTGTTTTGTTGGGTTGGGTTTTATTCTGTTTTGTTTGATTTTGTTATATCCGAAGGCATGAGCAGCTATTTCAAAGATAACAAGATCTATTACGGTAGTCAATTTGGATTTACTACTGTCTTGTTTTGAAGTCCTTTATTACATTCATTGTTTTGTTTTTATTGATTCTATTCTGTTATGCTCTGTTTGATTTTTACTATGTCTGAAAGTATCTGCAGCTATTTTGAAGACAAGAGGCATTATGGTAACTATTATTGATTACGTATTGTTTTGAAGTCCTGTATCACTTACACTGGTTTGTTTTGATTGGTTTTATTCTGTCTTACTTTCCTTGGTTTTATTCTCTTTAAAATAAATAAATGAATAAATAAAAATTTTAAAAAGAAATTAATATGGTGGTGCCTCGGTTCACAAACTTCAGTCCTTCCAAGATTCTGGTCGTAAATACATCTGCATGTACACACACACACACACACCCCAGAACATATTCAGAATGGAGATGTACAGTGTAGCAGAGTACTCACCAAGCCTGTGTGAGCCCTTGGGTTCAGTCCCCAGGATCAGACACAGCAGGACACGGTGATGCATGCCTGTAATTCCAGCACTCTGAGAGGCTGAAGCAGACAGATCATAAATCCTAGCCCAGCTTGAGTAACTGAGTGACTTAGCAAGACCCCATCTCAACATTAAAAATTAAAAAACAGCTGGGGGTGTGGTTCTGGTCCTGGGTTCAATCTAGTACTACAAAAAAGATTGCTAGGTAGATTAATATACAAACAGATATCTATAGATGGATGGATGAACAGATAGATATAAAATAGCTGGGCAAGGTACACGCCCATCCCAGGACTCAGGACACTGATGCAGGAGGATCTGTGAGTTCAAGGCCAGCCTCGGTTACACAGAGAGTTCAAGGCCAACCTGAACTACAATGTGAGACCCTGTCTAAAAAAAAACCTCTGGAGTTCACATTTGACTCACCATTACCCTTTTAGAGTATCTTTTCAAAAGAATTAAAAACATTATACTACACCAATACATGGGCACCTATGCTTATAGCAGCACAATTTGTAATAGCTAGATTTTGGAAACAACCCAAAAGCTCCTCTACCAGGAATGGATACAAAAGATGTGGTCTTTTTATGCAATGGAATGCTACTCAGTCACAAGGAAGGATAAACTGGAGGCTTTTATAGGTAAATGGATAAAACTGGAGACCATACTCATAAGTAAAATAAACCAGACACATATGTGTAAACATTCTATTTCTTCCCTAGTATGGGAAGCTGAAAGATTAAATAAGATCCAAAATGTATAATAAAATTTGTAAAATGGGAAAAAGCTTCAAAATGAGGGACGAGGGAACGGAGAAAATAAGGAAGGAAAATGAAAAAAATATATATATACACTATATACTATATACTATATACTATGTGAAAGTTGAGATACTACTAATTTCTCTTAGTTCGTTGAAAAGAAAGGTTTGTGCTAATACTGTTTGGACAAGTAAATGCCGATACATATACTCTGAGTAAAGATAATATGCAGTGTATTAACCACTGTTACCCTTTTATTATCCTGTTTTAAAATTTTATTTTTTCCTCTTTAAAAAAAAAATCCCTCCATTCCAGACCATTCACTGGTCACACATTTGTTCACGGTCGCCAAGCATGCACAGTGTACCACTCAATGATAGCTACAGTAACACACGCCCAGGGAACTCAGGCAGGGCAGTCCCAGGCTTCCGTGGGGCCAGCCGGGGGATCCCCAGCAAGGAGCACACCCCCACCCATCACATTGCACAACCCTCTGCCCTAGGGGAGAAGCACCGGCTGGTATGGAAAGTTCCAGAGTTGCAACCCCAGTCACTGGAAATCCCAGGCCAAATCCCAGCCACGCAGAGAAGACAGCAGCAGGATGAAGAAGGCACCCCGCCTGCCACCCTCCCCTCTCCTGCCACAGGGAGCCGCTGTCCCACTTACTACTCACCCAGGAAGTGGAAGGGCCACGGGAAAACAAGCCAAGCACTGCACTGCACCCTGGAGAAGCAGGAAGCGAACTCAGAGTGGCCCTTCAGGGGCACACATAAGCAAGACAGCTAAAGTCAGAGGTCTGGCCATCATCATCACCCATAGTCCAGCATGGGGTCATCACTGAGATGGGACGAGTCATGGCCAAGAGCTCCTGCTAACTAAGCAAGTGACACCTGGTCACCGCAGGGCACTTGGGAAGCAGAAGTAAAAGTTGCATGACCATGTTACCAGGAAGACCAGAGGAAACCACTAACAGCTCAGCTCCCAGGGTTTTTCCTACAGATAGAAAACCACATGCACTTGCTGGAGCCTGGGTCTTGTTTGTTGGCTTGTTTGTCTGAGGACAGGCTCTCACCATGTAGTTGGAGCTGGCCTCAAATTCACCAAGCAGCCCAGGAAGGCCTGGAATCCATGATCCTCGGCCTCAACCTTGAGTGCTGAAATGACGGGTATGCACCACACCCAGCTTAATCGATCCTGAATGTCCCCAGAGGCCCTTGTGTGAAAGGCCCAGCACTCTTGGGGAAGTGAAAGCAGACTCTCCTGAGGGAGAGTCTTCCCCTCACTGAGGACCTCCCTTGAAGGGGACAGGGAACCCTGGTGTGGCTGTCTCCCATCATGGCATTCCTGGCACCATGATGGGCACGGCTTTTCTACCCTGTGCTCCTGCCCTGAGGTGCTATCTCTCCACAGGCCACAGGCCACAACGGCCAGATGACCAGGGACTGAGGCTTCAGCCACCGTGAGCCACAGAGACTATCTGTGAAATTTGATCATGGGTATTTGCTCCAGGAATGGAAAGCTAGCTCACACATAAATCAGCAAGACAGGACAGGGGTGGTTCAGAAGCCAGACCAGGTGCTTCAGAGGCATGGGTTCAAATCCTATATCAGCCACTTATTTGCTATACATTTGAAGAAGGCCCTTCACTGCTGCTTGAGCCTCAGTTTCCTCATCTACCAAAGAACTACAGGAGAAGCCTCTCCCTCAGAGTGGCCAAGAGGATCAAGTGAGGATATGGCAGCAGTACACATTATCTCCAGCGTATGATGACCGAGGATTCTCATGTGGAGTCCAGCACTCCACGCCTTCTCAAGCTCACCGAGCCACCCTGCATGTCCTCCAAAGCAGATGGGCACAACCTGCTGAAATGCCCCTTCTCCAGACCAAGCAGCTCCTCCCTGTGAGATAAGGGAACCCTCAGTACCTCTGCAACCCACTTTTTGAGTCTCCCAGCACCCTGAGGGAAGCACCACCAACAAGGCAAAGGCAGGTACAACAAAGCGGTCCAGCCTGAGCACACAGCTGGCATGCACACAAGGATGGCACATGCGGGCCCAGAAGAGCCTGAGGGGAGCCCAGGAGACCCCGAGCAGCCTGGGTGAGGGACTCCAGGACCGTGACACAGGCCCGTGACAGCCACGGGTACCGGGAGCCACCCATGACGCAGCTGGACAGTCTTCCAAGCATCAACCCCAGAACATGATACAGCTCCATGGCTGGGGGTTTGCTGAGTCACTTCCTAGCGTCCCACACCTCACACCATCTCTCCCAGACCACAGTGGCTCAAGGGCCATCACTTCCCACTCTCTCATGGGGTCAGCACCAGGACCCAAGCAGGGGCAAAGGCCTGTCCTGCAGGCAGCCTCGGTCCCAGGAGGTCGGCATGGCCAGGGCCCGGTGCACGCCCTCGGCTCAGCACCTACTCTCAGAGAGAAGGTCTCAGAGAGGTCAGGAATGTGGTAACACCCAAGCATGGTGACCAGGGCGAAGAAATAGGCCCAGGAGGGGCCCCTGGAATGAGCCTGTGAACTGACCTGCAGGGACACAGCAATGGGGACAGTACCACCCCAAGACACCCAAACCCCTAGCTTGGTGTATATGTACATGGCACTTTGCATAGCAAAGGGGACTCTGCAGAGGGGATTACATGAAGATTTAGAAACCAGAGATCACCCTGGGTCACCAAATCAGCCACTGTGATCCCCAGGGCAGGCAGGAGTGTCAGGTCAGAGCAGATGTGGGGGCAGAGCAGCGTTCCAGGCCAAGTGACGGCCTGCGGGACCTGGACACCATGTGGTGTGAGGGACCTGTCACAACAGCAAGAGCAAACAGATCAGAAGGCCAGCAAGGGGAGGCCAGGAGAGCAGCAAGTGCAGGACCCTGTGTCAGGACCAAGCAGGCTGGGCAGGGGAGGCAGGTAAGATCAGGCACGAGGAGGAGGTCAGGCAGGGCAGGCCTGGCACAGGCAGTCCTGGGCTCTACCTGCATGGCCTTGGGCAGCTGCTGATGCCCTCGGGGCGCTGGGGCCACCTGTGTCTCTAGGCCTACAAACTCAGAAGTGTCCTCTGAAAAGTACGCGGGAATGGCCAACCTGCACTGAGAAGACACTCAGCTACTAACCGGGGAAACACACACACCAGCAGAAAATGTCACATCACATCACACCAGGTACAAGACTGGAACAAGAAAGAGCGAGGATTACATTATCTATTACGTCCACCCTTTTGATTTGATTGACTCTCTTCTGTTATGTCACATTTGGTTCTACTCTCTTCCAAAAAAGTAATAACAAGAACTGTGGGAGCAACAAAACCCAAAATGTGTAATTGTCATTGTACAAAAGAGAGGAAAAGAAAGTGCTCTAAACGATATAACTGCATGTATATTAAAGAGTATAAGATAGATAATGATATTACTGAGTATTGTTGGATCATTGAACAGAACTATTTGCAGTCTCACTGTTGGAATGTCCACTTTATAAGCTTTAATTTTGTAACTTGAACAATTATTTCTAAGATGACAAAATGTAATCCATTAACTAGTGATTCCCTACTGTTTATTTTTTTCTGTAAATCTGTATAACTTGTACCCTTTCTCTGCTTTTTTTTTTTCTTTTTCTCCTTAAATAAAATAAAATTTAATTTAAAAAAAAAAAAAAGAAAGAGCGAGGAAGTCACCACTGGATTCGGCTGTCCCCCTGCCCCCAGGACACACCCCATGACAGCACATGTTTATAATCCCAGCACTTGGGAGACTGAGGCAGAGGGATCTCCACAAATTTTAAGTCATAATGGGCTGCATAGTGACTTCAAGATCAACTTGAATTATGTAGCAAAAAAAGGGAAAAAAGTCTTTGCCTATGACTTCAAGAGAAATTTCATGGTACTAGCTGGGCATGGAGGTACACACCTGCAATCCCAGAACTTGAATGGCTGAGACAAGATGATCCCCAGTTTGAAGTCAGGTCTGGAAATGCAGCTCACAGGTAGAGTATTTCCATAGTGTACACAAGCCCTGGGTTCAATTCCCAGTGGCAAACAAACACATAGCTAGCTCAAGACCAGTCTGGGCTACATAGTGAGAGCTTTTTTTTTTTTTTTTTTAATCAGTACCAGGGAGAACTCAAGGCTGCCTGCTTGTAAGGCAGGCCCTTATGCCGCTGAGCTAAATCCCCAGCCCCCAGTGAGAGCCTTTTGAAAGCACTGCTCCTGAAGCCACCCCAGCCCCTCACAGGCTTCCCCAGTAATGCTAGCGATTGATTGCCGTTGTCCTGCTGAGGTCTTACTGCCGTGCCTGCAGCAGTCCATGTTTCTGTGGAGCTGGGGTGACCACAGAGAGCTCAGCAGGCACCTGCCCCAGCCATTGGTGGTGTCCCATGCTTGTTAAGGGTCTCTCCCCAGCTTGTTAAGCTGCCGGCTGTTTGGGTTTTGGCAATTGTGAACTGGTCGGCCCTGATACTGGTCTGCAGAGGATGTTCTGTGTCCCAGGCCTGGCTATCACAGGTAAGGACTTTCTGGACAGAACCCCAGTTGCACAGGAAATAGTACCAAGAATCAACACACAGGATTATATCAAATTAAGCTTTTGCACAGCAAAAGAAACAACCAACAGAATGAAGAGACAATCTAAGAATGAGAAAAAAATTTCCAGCTGCTCCTCAGGCAGAAAACTCCTATCATACCTGGAATTTACAGAGCTTGAGCTGGGTGTGTTTCACAGCCTGTGAGGCAGGAGACCCACATGCTGGGGATCACTCTCTGCTGCTGCTGGAGCCCTCCCTACCCTCCACAGATCCACCTCCCCAGCTCTCCTCAGCAGGAGCCTGGGGAACAAACACTAACTGCTTTGGAGTCCTGCACCTTGGTCTCAGCACTGCACTTGGATCCCTGGGGACTCTTGGCAGCTAGGCTGGCACTGGGTTCATAGAGGAAGAAGGGCCAGCCTGAATTTGAGGCTAGTCTGGGGTAGAGGACGAGCCCCTAACTCAAAACACCCAACCCCAAACAACTTCCTTTCCCAGCATGAGGAGTTAGCCGGGTAGCCACCAGCCCTGGCCCTGCCCACAGTCTAGGAAAAGGAAAGAAGGCCAACCTCAGGACACCCGGGGTACCACCTGTGGCTGTGCCTGCTGTCCTGACAGCGAATCCTGGCCAGAGTCCCTTGGCCTGGACCCTAAGATGGACAGGCACTGTGGCGCACACCCAAGGCTGCACTTTCCCCGCAGTAAACAGCCTTGTGCCTTGTGCCCACCCCTCCTGTGTGTCTTGTTCAATTCTTTGCTGGCCCTGGTGGGGAGACAGACACACCTATGCCGTAACAGTGACACCTCAGGCAGCTGTTGCCTTTCCAGTCATCACAGCAAACAGCAGAGCCTTGGGTTCAATCCCCAGCACCGCAAAAACATGAACAAACAACAGGAAAAGAGCATAGGAGAGAAGCTAGTCTGCACAGCAGCACTGGAGCAAGGCTTTGCTGGGAAGTTGTTTGCCAAGTGCTTCCTCATGAGCCAGGGTGAAGTCGGGACTGCTGCACCTCCGCCAACACCTGTCCTGTGCCCTGCTGGCATCCTCACTCATCCTCCACTCTGTGAAGACCCAAGTGTCTAAAGAAATGTCCCAGGCTCCTAATGGCCCCTGACTGACGACCACTCGGCCTGTGTTAAAACATGTGCAGTTAACTCAAACCACAGAGATAACACAGGCTCATCATTTGGTATTCTTTCCACTCTATGTGTTACACATTCTTTTGTGTGAAAGGCATATTTAATAAAGCATTTGTTGTGCTCTAACAAAAATGCTGCCATTCTGTTCTGTATGTGTCATTACCTGGTAACCCTGTATTCTGTGTCAACCTTTGTCCC